CGTTTGTTAACATATAAAACTGGAAACAATAATTCATTATTACCACATAAGCTATCATTTTGTGTTCGTAAATGTTGAAATATTTCTATTATAATTTCATTCGGAAGATTTATATCATATCTTTTTGGTGCTTTACTTTTTACTGTTAACTTTGTATTCCGCTCTTTATCTTGTCGTATTTTTTCAAAATCTGGCTCACGGAGTGAGGATGTTATTGCATCTAAACTATTTGTAAACAAATTTGGAATTTCTGGGTAAGGGGGTTTCCATGTAACAGATATACAATTTTTTACTACACAAACTCCTCTTTTCTCGAATTTTAGCTCTCCCATTTCTATACCTGTTTTGAGATTTACTTGCCCTGCTACTATAAATCCATCCGTATGAATGCGCTTTACTCGATTTCTTAATGGTTTCACGATTTCTGATATTCTTTTTCGTGCAGATGCTAATAAGAATGGTTTTATTCGTGGATGTACTCCATAATTTTGTCCATTTCTTTGTTCGCATAATGCTCCCCATAATGAAACTAATAATGCTTTACTTACTTTTCCTGCTGTTCCACCTTCTTTCTTAATGTTGTATAGTATATTACCCCATTTTCCAAACATATCACTTCCAGTAATGCGTGTACTTATTTCATATATAATCGCATTTGGAGAATCATTCATTAAATATACTTTTAGACCATTTTTCTTAGCACATTCTAAATCATAATGTGTATAAATCCCATGTGGATTATATCGCAAATATCTTGTACATTGGAGACTTTTCTTCGGTGGATTTCCTTCTATTGTTGCTTTATAAATTCCATATGGGAATTTAGTCCACTTTTCTACTAAAGATACGTCTATAGTATGGAACTTACCTGGTGCAATTGGCCATGATGCTTCTTTCTTTAACATTTCATATATATACATTGAATTTACGTCATATTGGTTGGCTTCTCCTTCATATTTTTCTGCAAATACTAGAGCGCCGGTTGATGCTAAATTTAGCCAAGCATTTTCTTTTTCGTCTATTTTTTCACTTCTTTTTGGTGCTAAAGTTGTCTCTCGAAAAAGTTTTAAACTCGTTAAAGTATAACTTCCTGATTTCCGCATATCAACCTGCCTATTTGTCTTTTCTGCTATAGCTTCTGATTCTTCGATAATTCTTTTATATGTTTCTATAACTGTTTCAGTATTATCTGCTTTAATAAAATGATATTTGTTATATAATGCGTGAAAATCTTCTTTAACACCATACCATTTTCTTTTTCCATTATAAAACTCAATTCCATTTGCTATATTTTTATGGATTAAGATAGTTTTGTTTCGCTTCGTACTAGGGCCTACCTCTGGGTCGAGTGCCGGCGCGGTTGCTTCTCTCGGCTGGTGCGTCGGTGGGTTTTCGTTAAATGATATGAGATCGTCATCGGGAGCTGGTGCTGGGTTTTCAGCAGGATTTTGAATGGGTGGATTTCCTACTGGAGCTGGAACTGGGTTTTGCATTAAACGCAAAGCTGATAAACATTGACCTTTTCGAAGGTTTCCATTTAAATTCATGTGTTTATTAAGATCTCGGGTTTTACCAGTTCTTATTACTTGATCACAACCTGGGCATTTAAGTATCTTGACCATAGCGATATGTATTCCGTGTTTTTTATTAATAAACCAGATCTTTTGTTTAATTTTAAATAATTATTCATTTATATAAATTTATCGAAATGCGTGGTGAATATACTTGTGAATATATACACAACTCTGGAGAAGTTTGTGGACGAGGATGTCGTAAACCTGAGGGGTGTCATGAGCACTGGAGGGCTAAAAAACGTGTTTTCTGTTCGGGTTGTGGAAAGCCTAATGCTTCTGGACCTGGTACATGTAAAAAACATGCTAAAGGGTATTATGTTATGCAGTTTTATGCTCGAAAACTCCGTGAAGCAAAGCACTCTATGTCTGAGCTAGTATAAATTATGTCTCATAGAGATGTCTTCGGACTTGTTGTCATTTTGTTATTCATTTTTTACACCGAAATTGTCCTAAAATTTGTTATATATTTTTATTATCCTTTTTACTATTAAAAAACTTGTAGAACACAGTAGGTTCGTTTTGTTTGGCAAAAATAAAAAACTAATTGTAAGGTAAATAGATAACTAATATTTTGTATTTTTTGCTATCCCAAAAACCTTCTTTCGGAGAAAGGACACTTCGTATCCCAGGTAGGGATAGATGCTTCACTATGTTTCGCATCAGGACCTTCCAGGTGGGGATAGATGCTTCACTATGTTTCGCATCAGACCTTCCAGGTGGGTCTATAACTAAGACCAGTGACGAGGCAAAAAAAAATACACCAAATGATGTGCTAGAAAAAAATATTTTTACTATCTGTCTTATTATTAGAAAGTTTATAGAAAAACTAAATAGATAACTAATGCTCTGCTACGCTCCGCAACTGTTTCACATTCACCTAAAGGTTCATGCTCACAGTGACAGAAAGCTAAATGCTAACTAAACAGATAACTATGCTCCGCTACGCTCCGCAACTGTGTCGCACACACCCTTGTGGGTATGCTCCACAGAAATAGAAGGCTAAATGGTAATCAAATCAGATATCAAAAAATACACCTCATGTGTCGAGGTGACGGCTGAGAAAAAAAAAATACACCATTCTATATAGATTTAAAAAGTTATCCAGAAGACAGTAAAAAGTCTGAAATCTATAGAAAATGATGATCAGAAACCAAAAATACACCGAAATTGTCCTAAAAAGCCCACTATTATATTACTCGTTGTTTTACAGGCATGGCGTCCCTTGTTTTTATTTCATGTTCGACAATATGAGTTTGGGTTAATTCGATAGTT